ATCTATCTATCTATCTATCTATCTATCTATCTATCTATCTATCTATCAGAATAAGTCCATTCACTATGTGTTTACATGTTCTCTGTAAAGATTAAATTTATTTATATTTTTTATTAATAACTACACAATCCTAGCTGATTCTGTTCCAATTGGTTTTTAGAAAACTACCAAAATTATCAAAAATGGATTAGAAATATAATTTAATCAATGATTATTTTCAGTTGTTAACAGGAAACAAAAGCAACCCATAGCGCCTAAATGGAAAGACACTGAGGTATGTGCTATTGAAAGAAACATGATAAGCTTCTTACACAGAAGTGCCACAAAAAAGACATTGCATACAGTGTATGAACACGGAACTCTGTGCACTGAAAAAACATATGTGGAATTACATAAAACCTATGTGAGAAATAGAATCGCAGCTCTCAAGAGAGAGGCGTTTTTTGAAGGACTAAATATACCTCTCCTTGGTTTGCAATTGAACCATTTTTAAATTAGTTTTGCTGGACATAATTGTTTGGTGGACCGCTTGTTTTTATGTTATATAAATTATTTTATGCAGAGGAGGATACATCTTTAGCTGGAAGGAAGAATTGAAAAAAAGCAGAAATATAAGAAACGTCTCAGTAAAAAAGTCGAGCGTAATGAAAACGTAATGAAAAATAATCAAATGTGAAATCATTTTACACAGCTTCGTGTATATCCTTATGCATCTTTGTTTATATAAAGCCTGTTTAATCACTTTACCGCTTTTGGTAAACTGTTTTTTTTAAATGTTTTTGTTTATCGGTATTCTGTTCTTTTTTTCCCTTCAGATTTTATTTCTCTACTTTTTCTGATTTTGTACATATAAATTTAATCCAAATTTGTTATTTTATTTAGGAATTTATTTTTTTCCATTTTCTTTTATTGATAGCTATCTTTCTCTTATTTCCTCGCATTTTTCTCAAGTCAGATTTGCTTTGTCTATTTATTTTATACACATAAATGTAATCCTATTTTTTAATTTGATTTCTTAGTTTATTTTTATTATTAATTTATTGTTGACAAAAATTAAATCAAATGGCAATAATCTAAACATAAAAAAGCCTTAAAAAAAGATCAGGAATAGTCAAATTTGTTAATGTGCTGGAGATTCATTTTAAGTTAGTATACAGTTTAAATTACTACAGATAAGTTAATACATTCAAAATCAATTAATAATGAAAATCTTATTGGCCAATTGGCTTAAAAACAAGTTGTGAAGTAAACATATACATTTTTTTTAAAGACAAATGTGCCTTACTATAGGTGGAAATTAAACCAGAAATATCCAGTTATGTCACATTTGATCATTTAACTAGTACATTTTTAAGCAGTTTTATTTGAGACATTTATGCTTTTCGCTTTCTCAGTTTCCATTCTTCACGTCATACATACAGTTACAGCTAATAAAGATCCTCAGTTCAAAATTAGTTTATAAATGCAATATTCTCTATTTTCTTTTCTTTTATAAGTTGCGTTGATTTTTTTATTCTGAATAATAAAGTTACCTTAAGGTGTCACAATATTATGTACAGTATGTAAATTAATATCCTTTTTATGTGATTGCTTTAAGATATACAGTATCATTTGATTTTTTTTTAAGTCTACTGGAAGTCAACAAGACAACTTAATTTAAAATACATTTCAGTGTCTCAGGTTGCACAGCTGATACTGTCAGAACCTAATTGGGAATATAAGAAGTCAAGATATGTTTCCTTTTTATAAATTTGTAGGACCATGGCACAAAAATAAAACAAGGTTGTAAAACCATTCCTAAAAGCTGAGTGTTCTTATGTGCAGAACCCTAATCTCAATTTCTCTATAAAAGACTCATTTGGAAAAAGAATGATAAAAGTTGATTAAACCTAAACTGGGAGGGAAATGATTTCAAATACACATAAAAGCAAATCCTAAAACTTTATTAATTTGTAGGACACACATATGGAGATGATGAGATACAATAATACTGAAGTGGGTCAATATCATTGTGGCAGTCAATAATAAAAAAGGTTTTTCAGCATAAAGTAGGAATTTGTAACCTGTAGTAATTAACTGAATTTTATCAAAAACTTATTTTTCTAATATCTAGCGATAGAGCTAAAGATAAATAAAGGACATGGATATGACATAAAACAAAGCAGTCGCAAGAGCTGCAATGGATGCATTTGCTCCAGTGCATAAACTCTCCCTTTGCTCTTCTGTTAGTTTAATTAATGCAGGCTCTTTAGGAAAACTTGGCTGCTTGTGGAGGAGGTCCCAGGAAGCCTCCTGCTTGTTTTGTTGCTGCTCTGGAGGGCGCAAGGCCCAGCATCTTCTGAATGTTCTGGTCACGAAAGAAAAGGCGAAAATAAATCACAGTAAAACATTTGCAACTGGAGATATGTTTGAGATCAGTTAAAAACATTTAACGTGATACACATAATATATTATGATATATAATATTATAATTATGACTAGCAATTTCTGTGTTTTTGGCAAATTACATACTATGTCATTGAAGGCAGTGACACAAATTAAGGCCCTACTTTTCTTATTATTACATTACATATTTGGACTGTTAGAGATTTGAAACTATTATGCATGAAAAAAACAATCAAAAAATATCTGCAGCTTCACAATGCAGCCTTCCCATGAACAAACACAAACTTTGGTGCGACAGTTACATGCTGTTTGAAAGAGGTTTCAGAATTATGCGATTTCATAAGTTACCTGTCTGATGGACATTGTGCAGAGGATGTAGAGGAAGATAAAGGAGCAGTCAGTGTAATCCTCGCCCAGAAGGTTGCGGTGCGATAGTCCCTGGATGTAGGACAGTGGCACAAATGGTAACTTGGCCACCACTCTTCCGTCAAATCTGGATGTAAACAACAACGGACACTAATTGAGCCTTCCTCTCATCATTGTTTGTCTAGTTTTTAGAATAGATTAAATATTTCAATAGAATTAGCCACTTACATGGAGTTGAACATGCCCATTAAAGCTGTGAAACAGAAGCCAATAGCAAACATGGACTTCATGCGCACCTATAAAACAAGCATAGATTATTTCATGATTGGGAATCCAAAATTGTATTTGATTAAACTTTGGCTTCAACTCTAAATTTCAACATATTGTATTTACTGACAAAAGCCTGAAACCAAGACATCAAACTCAACAGACTATGTGCAGGTTCAGGGTGAACAAAACTCACCATAGACAGGTCCCTGTTGTTGTTCTTTAATTTCTCTTCCTGTCGCTCTATGAGGGATAAATGATCGGCCACAAAAACAGCATATTGTCAATACAAGGAAACAACTGAAGTATTGAGGTCAACTGACGACTTCCTAGTGTAAAATAAATTGCTCCCAAATTTCTTACCTATCTTCTTTTTTTGCTGACGTCCGGCCGATTCAGTGATGGTTTCCTTTTTCTTCTCAACTGCAATTACATTTTTTGTTAAGTTCTTTAATCTGGAGTGAAATTTTAAAATATAAAAATGGATTTTTTTTGTGTGAAATGAGCGTTCCTTACGTTTTTTGCTTTGTTTTTCCACTTCAGCCTTCAGCCTCTTGTATTTTTCAGTTCGATACACTAAAACCCAGGTAATTCCTGTGGAAATTGTACAAATGTTTTGGTAATGATAAAAATAAACCGACTTAGCAAGGTGAAATTTGCCTGCCAGTGTCCATTCATTTTCATTCACGTTCTTTTTTAGAGGTCCGTTTAAGGACCTTCTTTTGCTTGTTGCTACCTGTTCAGCCACAGTCACACCACTAAACAACCATCAAACAACACCGACAATTTAGCCAAGTTTTGTATACAAACGCAAATAGGTTTGGTCAGTTTATCGTGGAAATGGAACCAGAAACTTCACACGTCGTGCACGAGCCTTTTCGGCTAAGCTAAAGTCGCTTCTAACCAGAAACCGAAGGTTTAAGGTTAAAAAAAAAACACACAAATATAATAAGATTGACGACACCAGCAAGTGTTCCCCACTCAATATAATGTGAAATTGGAATGTTCAATGTATCGTGTTTTAAGATAAAAGAAACACGTTTGCTTGCCTATAGTTCAGTCAATCTGTCAAAAGGACTGTCACCCACCTTCGGCTAACAATGCTGTACAAACAGAGATGAATATGATTAGAATTGTGTCAGCAAACATAGTGCTCATGGTAGTGTCCCGTTTACCCGAACAAAAGTAAGAAATGTTCGGTGTTTTAATGACAAATAAAGCTGACTACACTAGAATACGACAAGCTTCTATTCTAAAGATATCCGTCAGCAATACTGAAAAGGTCAAATATCCGAGAACCACTTCCGGGTCTTCGGAGCGTCTTTGCAGTTCTAATCCGTGGCCAATGCTAAGTTTTTTTTGTTTTTAATTCAATGTACGAAAATCCCATGAGGGAATAAGCGGTATTGATAATGGATGGATGGATGTACGAAAATCTTTACAGCAAGGTGATCAGATATATAATCAGGTATATAACAGCGTGCAAGAGTTACTATAATAGCATACATTATAGGAAATAAGCAGGATAATACAATGATGAATTGATAGAGCAACAGAAATTTAGAATAGTTTTAAAAAACAAAATATAAATAAAAAGCTATATTAGGGGATTTCTATTAGTTGACGTTCCTCTAGGACTATAACGCGAGAATAACGGTTTTAGAGTTTTTGATGATGTTTAAGATAGTGTCTTGACCAATTTGTTTTGATTGTAACATTAATACACTCAAAGCTTACGTCTTTTTAAAATTATATTCTTAATTAATTCAATACAATTTGTTTTTTTCTTTCCAGATGTAGTTGAAGTTTTCTTGATTTATATATTTGATGTCATATTTAGGGGTTGACAGTAAATAAATTGCAAAATTCAGTGTTTATAAGAAAAGTTATTTTTGATCATATCAGTGTGGAAAGAATATGTGCCTCCTCAAAATACCAACTGACTGATACCTGTTCTGTCTGAACAAATCTTAACTGTGCAATCAGCTAGTCTTACCCAAACACAACTCTTAAGTGATTACCTACCTAGGTCAAGAACATTCAAATGACTTATTTCCAGCAATGTAAACCTAATTTATGCTCACTTTTAGATTAATCAGAGGATTCATTTCAGTGGTTACATTTAAACTCAACCGGTGCTCTGGTATTTGTAGTGCCAGGTTACCCAGTATTGTGTTTATGTATTCTGGTTCCATGTTTGAATAGTTGGAGCCCTGAAGATGCACTCATTGTAAAACCTCTCCTTTCACCCCCAATGCTCACACTTTTTCTGCATCAGGAAGAAGAAAATTGAAAGACCATTTGGTCTGATTCTGCTTAAGCAAATTAATCTGATCAAACTGCGAGCCTTTCAAAACTAATTTGAAGCAGTTCTGTTGTTTTTCTCATTTCCATTTGTATCATATGAAATGTAAGTAAAAATTATACAAATGGGTTCAATTCTACTTTGACTTAAAGCTTAAGTTTCTTGCTTTTACTGTGAATTTTAAACTAAACAGAAAAGTTAATAGGGATTTGGGACACGTTTTCTCTGCAAAACTTCTGATTCATGACCACAGTTATGTGATTTGACAGGGTTAAGCTATCCCAAATCCATAAAAGGAAATGATCCTTTAACAGTGGAAAAATGTGAAAGGCTTGCATATTTCTGGGTAAGATTGTGTCTTAGAATGTAATAAAAACATTTTTTTTAAAACAACCATGTTGGGTTGTAACTTTAAGAGGGTCACATAAAGTAGAAGACAAACCAGCATATTTATTCAATTAATCTACAGTCTCATATTTCGATAGAAACACTTCCACCACGAAGCAGTCATTATTTAAAACATACTGTTTAAGTATAACATTTTACAAAGAAATTAACCAAGTCAACTTTATTCCTAGCAAGTCACAACCTTCACAACTTGTCCATCTAGTCTTAGGAGTTCCTCATGGTAGAGGATTGGAGCAAAGTGTTGTGTGGAGCCCTTTTTAAAAGCCCTGCTTTACTGAGGCTTTCTGATCGAAGAGGGCACGATACAGATCGTTGCACGCCTCATCACTGACTGAGCTTTGGTCCACAGGCGCCATGAAATTGACCAGCTTGCTGTGGATGTGATATCTGACTTTTCGGCCCTTGCTGGCCTTGGTGTCCACATTCTTCTTGATCTTCCTACGCAGCTTGTGGATGGCCAACCAATGCTTGCCCATCGCCGTCTGACTCTTGGGGTCGGCCGTGCTTGTCTTTTGCTCGATCAGCTCTCGGAGGAGGTGGTGGTAGAAATCATCGTCATCATAGATGTCCTCATCCAAGTCTTTTAGGTGGGTATTGGCCTTCAGTTGTGCCAGCTGTCCGTCGGAGGGAGCGTTCTCAGACATCACATTAGAGGAGTCCCTTTTCCCCAGAACTCTGTAGTCTGAGCGTCGGGTCTGGGTGCGCCGCAATAGCCTCTCTTTGTCCATCAGCACCTGCTCCACCTGAGTCACTATGTTACTCTCAAATGCCTGAAAGCCTTTGCTGGTCTTGCCCACAGTGAGTCTGGTTTTGTCGTGCCACCTCTTCAGTGTGGTGCCACAGTAAGGCTGAAAAGCTGCAAAGCGTTTAGCCATCAAGTCTGGGTACTCCACCATCTCCAGTTTTCTTTTGAGCATCAGAGAGGCAGGCACTGACGCATCTTTTTTATCCTCATCGTTGCTCATCTCCTCATCTCCGCTCTGGGCTTGTGTTTTTCCCAAGGCAATGGTCTGTGTATCTGCATTTTGGAACAGCAAATCGTCCTGCAGCTCAAACAGAGACCTCTGAAGAGTTGTCAATGCCTTGTGGGTGTTCTTCAGCACCCCCGCAAGCTCAGCTCCCCCCATCCTTTTGAATTCAGGGACGGTGTCTGGCTGTGGGAGCTGGTTGGCTGTCACGAGTGCCTTCTGGATTTTGATTCGACCCTCCAGTAGCTGGTCATACAAAGCCAGCTGGTTCTTCACAGCTTTCCCTTTTTCAATTTCCTCATTTGTTTCATCTTTCAAAAAGGTGCAACCAGCCATGTCTTCCTCGCCACCTTCTGTTTCGCCACCACTAGAGTCTTCATCTTCTTCACTGCATTCAGACTCATCAGAAATTTCTTCATTATCATCATCATCCTCTCTATTCATCTCAAGATGGTTCATGCTCTTAGTCAGTTTGGGGAAATCCAGTGTGATGTCCGCGCTCTTAATCTTAGATACCTTTTTTTTAACCAGTTCAGAATTACTGCCAGGCAACTTGTTCTCGCCTTCATCTTCTGAACTATTTTCACTGACATCCTCATCGATCTCTTCATCAATCACAGAATCATCTTCATCATCTTCTATCTCACCCTCCTCTTCAACTTCGCCATCTCCCCCCTCCATCTCATCATAAGAATCCTCGCCAGATGCTTCAAAATCCATAAGGAGCTTAGTGCGAGATACTGGGTTCCCCACATACCGCCCGTCTCTGTCTGACAGTAGGGATATGTTTTGTTTTCGGAGAACACTGATTCCGGCTTCCTCCTCGTTCTCGTTGAAATCCTCAATCAATCGAGCCGCCGTGACATCACCAGTATCATCTTCTGGATCATGAAACGTAGGTAAAGGATTCAATAAATCCTCCAGCTCTTTTGAGAATGAGCTTGCCATGACTCCCGATGTACAAGTCACATGTGCTGCAAACTTAAGTCCGGTCTCTGATGTCGCTGGCTGTGACGTCAAAAAGATGCGCCAACGATGAACATTTGGTTGTTACCCTTGGCATTGTCTTTAAGGCGAAACCTCTCAACAGCAGACACGTTTTTAAATTGTTCTTTCAATATAAACTATCAGCCTCCAAAGTCAATTTTATTGATTAAATTATATTTTCATAACATACTAGTTTGACTGAATACTACAGGAGTGATGTAGAAGCGATCATTTTTTTATTAAGGATCATCCATCTGTACAAACAGGCAATCTAACAGCGTTTTATTATATTTTGTTCTACTCTATTCTATATAAGAAGTAAATAAAAACCAATATCAATAAAATGTAAACATTAAGTTTCAGAAGTGAGATAAACGTAAACTTTTGTTGTCACAGCCTTACTTAGAGAACATTCCTAGTAAATGGGTAAGAACTTCCTGTAAGACAAAAATCAGCACCTTGACCCACGTTCTTGGGAGCCTTTACGCATGCGTCGTTAAGTGGCGAGGCACGGAGTTCGAACTGGTCGTGCTACAATTGTTCGTTTCAAACATTCGAGAGAGTAAACATGTCCACAAGTGACTTCTATTTGAGATATTATGTCGGGCACAAGGGAAAGTTTGGACACGAGTTTCTGGAATTTGAATTCAGACCAGACGGTAAGTATTATTTGGCGGCGAAACTGACGCGTTGCTTTCGCTCTTGATGCTAATTCTATTAGCAGACGGCACCGACTAGGCCGCAGCAGACCATCAACTAGCTGCTGGCGCCTAGTTGTCTTTGTTACCAGTATTTAGTTTATTTGTTTTAACATTTAGGATATATTATCATGACAGTGCACGCTAGAAAGGTTGTGAAAATATTCTGAGGGGAATCATACTTGCCATAGCAATGGCCTTAGCAAGATTACCAGGTTAACGTGCTAGTTAGCCTAATTGTGATTGTAAATTGTGTCTCTTATTACTTTCTTTCAGGTAAACTGAGGTATGCAAATAACAGCAACTACAAGAACGACGTTATGATCAGAAAAGAGGTAATTATAGTATTACATATATATAAACTAGATAGAAAGTGAGTCTCCACAATGAACTGTAGAGTAGGATGTTTATATGGACTGGTTTACCCTGGGGTTGCTTTAATTATCTCAATGCAACTTTGTCATTGTTGTAAGTGCAGGTAAATTAGCCTTTTTAAAGTTTATGATTAAATCAAATTTTTGGAGGTAGGTTTTGTGTTCGAATTGTAAATAAAGCATGTGTGTAAGGCGCCGAATAGTAAAGGTTAAACAATCAAAATCAATCAAATCTGGATCACTTGTACATTGTTTTACCAGGCATACGTACACAAGAGTGTGATGGAAGAGCTAAAAAGGATCATCGATGACAGTGAAATCACCAAGGAAGATGATGCACTGTGGCCACCTCCGGACAGAGTTGGAAGACAGGTTTGTAACGTGTGGAAAAACGTGTGAAATTGTCAGAATTTTTTCAGAATTTTCTAAACAGTTTTACTGCTAGGCATAATGCAGTCATTTGATTTCTCCTTCCTTGTCATATGTGTTCCAATTCAAGTACTTTTTGAAAGAGGCTACATTGCAAGATAGGTGAATTGCTGCTTGTGCGGAGATACAGTACAGTGGGATTCACCATCTTTTGCCTTTGCCAGCAAGTATGTCCTCATGGCACAAATTGGGACTTTTAAAAGACATCTTAGTCCAACTAAATTGCAAAAATTGGATGAAAATTAAAGAATGCTCATTGGGTTTTAGTCATATGCATTCCGAGCATGTATACGGGGACAATAATGTGGTCTGGTTAAAAGGGAAAGTTAAGCTTTAAACATAGCGTGGCACTACTTTGCATAACTGGATTGTCTGCTATGCTTTGCGATGTACTTTGTTTTTTATTTTAATTTTAATGTGATGCATTTGTTTGTCCTGTTTTTACAAAGACAATGATTGTAATAAGAAACAAAAACGTTTCTTTCCATAGTAAACATCACATTTCAACTATTTTCTATTTAGAAGTGGAAAAAGGGAGGAGTTTGTAATTAATAAACAGAAACTCCTTAAAAAATAGTGAAAAGGATATCCAGGTTTTTGACTTGTACTAATAATTTTTATTTAATTCCATAGGATTAAAATTGGTTAGAATTTGGCAGCAGTTGTCCTTCGAGTGTTGCATGTGTTATGAGCACCGCTGAGCACGCTAGCTGAGCACCATTTGCTTCTGTATTGAGACATAAACTTGAATGAGTACTGAATAAAATGTCAACATTTTCATCTTTTTTTTTGTTAGGAGCTGGAGATCGTCATTGGGGATGAGCATATTTCATTCACAACCTCCAAAATTGGCTCCTTGATTGATGTCAACCAGTCAAAGTAAGTGCTGCATCTCAGTTACAAAAGTACACTGTACCAGCACCACATTTTTACTAACAAATGTGCTTTAACTCATATTTTACTTTGTTCTAGGGATCCAGAAGGTCTTCGTGTATTTTATTACCTGGTTCAAGATCTGAAATGTCTCGTCTTCAGTCTGATTGGCCTTCACTTCAAGATCAAGCCGATCTAAAATGTGGCTTTGCTTGTTTAAAATACTTGATTGTGTCTGTTTGTACATTTGCTTTTGATTGAATTTGAAATAAAAAGCCAAGAAAGAAATGGTCCTCTGCGTTCTTTAAATCTAAAAACAGAATAATTTTATGGAAAGTTAATATTAAGGCTTTATTTTCTTTTTACATTTCATTTGAGGTATTAAATCAACCAGTGATGACAATGAAAACGTGTTACATTGATGAGCTTGAAATTCAGTGAATTCTTCACATAATCATTTTACTGCAGGAGATTTCAGGTTTCATCAATAACTACCAGCATTTAAAAAAAAGCTTGCTGCCATTGCTTAAAAAAAAAAAAACGAAAGCAATGTTGACACTTGTCTGATCCTTCTTTTTTTTTCCTTTTGTATCCTTTCAAGAGCTAACAGTTGACCGCACAATCTTTACCACAATTTTCATAACAAACATTTTCTTCTCAGCTGAGTGGCTTTCCTTCCAGAACACTAAAAATGTCCTCCAAGGACTTTTGGACACACTGCAGAAACTCGTGGACATTGCGAGCCGGATAGCTGGACACGTTGCAGCCGATCCAGTCGTCGTGGACACCGTAACCGACGCCGAACCCGTCGGGCACCACCGGTGCGAAGCCACCGAGACTGACCGCAGGACTGGACAGAGTGCTGGTGGAGAGGATGTTGTGGTTAATGGCAGCGTAGGCTGGGTCTGTGTACATGCTGTGGAGAGCCTGGCCCTTCGAGTTGGCCAAGTAACGCAAGGCAAACAGGTGACGGTCGAATCCTTGACCTGAGGAAACAAGTAAAAGCATAAGTTAACGTAGCAAACACTGCAACAAACAGCACCGAATATTCACATTAAATTTATGACACGTTGCTTAATCAGACATAGTTTTAACCTCTAACACAGCTAAAATACAGGACCTGCAGCTCAGTTAGGAAGTCTGTCTCAGTCAACTCATCATATCTGATGTAAGGTTTCTGTCTATGTGACTAAAATTAACTGAATTTAATACCTTCAAATTCTGATTAAAAAACAACTTTTTTTCTTATGCAGGTTGTCTTGAGAAAAACTACTAATGTTACAGACAGGGATATCTCATGTCAGCAGAGTAAAGTTGTTTCTTAAATTAACTTGTGAATTTACCAAAACTTTGCCAACTGCATCTTTGGTAAGAGTCCAAAGGCCAAATTGCCAGCCGTGTATGTTCCAACTTGCCATTTTCATTTTCAATGCACACAGAATCAGTTTTTATACGTACCCATAGCTGCTTCTCTCGTAAGCTGATTGTGATATTTAGAGCACTCATTTAGCATGGCATGCAGCTGCTCCACACTGTGTTTGCCAGGTTCATGCACAAAGGCGTGCGAGCACTGTTTGGTGTAGAGGCTGGCTGGTCGGATGGTTTCGGTACGGCCATGTTTGAACGCCGCTGTGCTGCAAGATTCATAGGTGGCGGCTGTGTGACCGTATTGCCTCAAGTATCCCATTTGAAAAGCCAGCTGGGCTATGGCGTCCGGACTCAGCTTTCTCTTCTTCAGCAGCTCCTTTCCTCCTTTCTTGAACTCCATAGCGTCGATGGTGAGCTTTGACACGGCCGAGTCAAAGTTCTCCGTAGCCTTTTTGATGCCCGTCTCCAACTCGGTGTCCAGGTTGAAGTGCACTCTGCGCACGGCGGAGGCTGAATCTGCAGGAGCTGCGGGAGAACCAGGGTGGACCACTGGCTTCTCGGTTGTGTCTTTGAAGACTTCGTTCTGAAAGCGGAGGACAGCCACTCCATCGCCCCAGGAGTGCTCAAAATTAATGGCCGCCTGGCCATCTTTGGCCACTATGATGGTGAAGGACTTGTCATACCACCGATTGTAGCCGTTGCCGTGCAGCATGTTGTGGGAGGTGTGAATGTGGTCCCGCATGTCCTCCTCATCCAGGCAGAGGCAGAAGAGGGCACTGTCCACGATCCGTAAATCCTCCGCGTTTCCGGCGGCCACGAGCTTGTCTCTTAACCCGGCCCAAACGTCTCTGTTCTCGCTGGTCAGGACGCCCGGGGGGAAGGCAGGCGCTGGTGTGGGGTCAGACAAAATGTACTTCAAGTGGGAATGGATTTCTGCGGGCTTCACCAAATTCCCATCCCCGTCCACCACGTCAAACACGTACATGTGTCCTTTTCTCATGACTAAAACGTGTCGGCTCTTCTCGTCGGTGAAGAGCTCGTCCCGCCCCTGTTTGGGAATGCGAGTAGAACCGAAAAGGCGGAAGTACTGAGACATGTCCAGGGGGTACGCATTCACCATATAGGCCCCGTACCAAGAGAGCGAAGAAGGCACCCAGCGAATGAAGCTTTTGAAAGCGTCTGTGTTGCTCTTCTCCGGGTTCAGGTGGAAGACCTCCGGCTCCAGTAGTCCGGCACGCAGTGTTTTCATGAAGCGCACGGCTGAACACACCATGTTGGACGCCCGCACCAGCTGGTCATTGTATTCCTTTTTGGGGTCAGGATTGAATGACATGAAAGGGTTGAAATTCAGGACAACGGAGTCACGCGCGGACAGATACATATCAAACCATGGACCTGAAAGGGAAGAGATAGTTGGAACAAGTCAGATTAGTGACCGTTTACATTCGAGGCCACGTCACTGTTTGAATGACACGCTCACCTGAGATGTAGCTTGTGTGCTTATTGTTTTTGTCCTGAGCCACCAGCTCTTCGTGTAGCTGTTTCCCCACACCGTTCTGGAAGTCAGTAGCATTTTTCTCTGTTGTTCTGAAAGTAACAAATGAAGATAGCCATACTTTTGGTGAATTTAAACTCATTTGACAATCAAATTAAGAGTAATATCTTTGGGGAGTTTACCTGAACTGGTCACTGTCCAACAGGGGCTTCTGGGCTGCTAAATACCTCCTGATAGTGTCTTCCAGTTTGGGTATGGGTAATCTAAACAGTCAAAATCTTAAATAAATTATGCTACATAATAATATCAAAGATTTGAGCAGGCTATCCGTAAACTTCTGGGATAAGGATACAAACCGGAAGCCAGTGTCTGAATCGTTCTTTAGCTTTGTGTTCGAAGCATTTTATAGTTTAAGTCATTCATGTTGACATCACTAAACCTGTTCAAGACAGAGGAGATTAAATTTAACCAAATGGCTAAGATAATCATTTAATTTTAACCGGTCCTAAACGTCACCGCCACCCTGTGGTCAACTATATTGAACCAAGCGTGCCCTTTTACCTACATTAATCCGAAATCTTTATTATCGTGTTCTTAGATCCGGGACACCTTCAAACTTTGAACGAACATGTTCAATGGCATAACGAAAATGCAGATTTATATTATAGCGACAACCTTTTAACTGTCAGTAAGTGATAATAATGTGAAAACGTGACAAAACCTCCATTTAGCTTAGTACCTGGGCAAACTCTTCTGGTAGTGCATCGATGGCACAATGCTTTCGTTCAAGTACTCCGAAGATGAAGTCTTTTGGCTGTAGAGTCGAGAACAAACTTCCAAACAGGGCCTTCTTAAATTAATTAGAATTCCATATTTCCTTAGACAGGCTGCCCTTTGCACAGAAAGCAAACTGGCCATAGTTCAAACTAATAAACTGAGTACTTACAAGAAAAGTATATATATTATCAAGCGTGAAAGTATCTAAAAGTGCAAAGTAAAAAGGCACAAAATAAGTAAAAGCTGTGAGGGCATCCGTGCCTCGGCTCTGACAGCAAGTTGGTACAATGGCTAACCGGCTAACGTTAGCAAACTTCCTTAGCTGACCTCAGAGGAGGAGTCTCGACTGTGGAATGCCTACGACGATATTTGCGTAATTTACCATATGAATGGCAACAGACACTAGCAGAGGGCAGAAAGTCCACGGAAGACACGAAGTAAACCAATTCGTACTTTAACACAACATTTACTCCAACGCTTCCATTAGTATATTTAATTTCGACAACTGGGTTGAGCTATATTTATTTTTGACGTAGCAATGCGTGCATAAATCAACGTACGCTATCATTCACCCTTCTTCTATGCACGACTACATACTCAACATACATTAGTCTGTGTAAATCTATAGAAGGTGAGTGGTGCCGCAAGTAATAAATAACTATTTAAATTAAATAATGAGTGATTAAATATAGAATGAATTGTAAGTTCTGAAATTATCTAAACTCCATTCCTACAAACCAATTAGCCTAACCCTGATGACAACAGGAAGGGTACAGCTTAGACTGGTCGCCAGTCCATTGCAGGGCCACACAGGGATAAATGACCACACACACTCATAGGGGGAAAGACACAAGGAAAACATGCAAACTCCACACAGAAAGGTCCAGGTCCATCACAAAAGCTTATTCTCACAATTTTCACACGCAAGAGGCAGTATCATGTGGTTGTTTTGCAAAATTAGAGTTTTGCAAAGATTCCTCTGATTCTGCTTCCAGGAATTGTAAAATAAGCTGCTTACTGTAAGAAAAACAATTACAAAAAATATATAAAAATTATTTAATTTGTGATTTAACTTTATAGGTTGAAATCTGTTCTTTCAAAACACAAAGCTCTCAAGCATTATCTTTATCTGAATCTGAAATAATCTTTAGGTGTCTTGGTAAATCCATTCTCTAAGCCTAAGTAATTTTCTACCTGTTCTAGAACCATCCTTATATTTTTATCTTTCACATCTTCTACACTGGCACTGAAACTGGGATTCCCTTTCATGTGGCTGACAAGGTTCTTTCAGGGAATTGTGGTGCTGGTCCACTGTATAAAATGGATACAGCAACAATCTTTCCTGCTAATAAATACTCATCTTCCCTTGCAGCTGTTACACAGAACACAAAATTACTGTGGTTGACTTTTACTTGGATCTGCTTATGAAGAAAAGGTTATAAAAAGTTATCTTAACTGCAAAGTCACGTATTTAAAGGTAAAAAGACCAACCTTTTGAAAGATATACAAGACAATGGCTCTTAGGAGATCCATTGAAGATAAAGTGATATCTCCTCATTAGAAGTTTGAGGAATTCACACCATGGAGCTGGAGATTGGAGTTGTCTCTATAAATAAAAGAAAACATTTTAGACTCACTGAATATGTACTTCTGTACTGATTGCTCACACTGTACATAAGGTGCAGATGTGCACAACCTGGTGCTGGTGAATTCAATACAAATGCCTAAATAACTAAGACAGGTTCTTCTGGGGGCAGATCTTTGTTTTTGTTATCCATGACATCTCAAACTCCACCTTTGTCGTCAATCACAATGGGTTCAAACAGGCTAGTGTAGTTCTCTGTGGAGTGAAGTCGTCATGTGAAAGAGAAGGAGCAGTTTGACGAGAAAGTTTAAGATGTTGAAACTGACTCTGCTTTAGTGGCTGACTCAGCAATTAGACTGGGAGGTTTTTTTTTTTAACCCCCAGAGGCCTTTCCATGGATGAAAGAACCTGTAGGCTGCAAGAAATATAGTAGTCAAGAATGAAATACAATGTCATATCAGACTAATTTAGGAATGTCTGGAATATAAAAACAATTCTTAGACAGGGATTTGCCCATCTCTTAAAATCACACGACCCAAAAAGAGAACCATCTTGTCCAAAATTAGCCAGAGCTTGGACAGGCTGGCTGTGGGTTCTCTTGCATAAAGGTCTTTGAAAAAAAGTTGTTGAAACGTTGGCAGTGTAGCAGAGAGTGAGGTATGATTAGAACCACCAGATATTGCTAAAAAAGAACTGGGATGCTGTGTCTGCATCTTAACTACAATGGAACTGATGACATCATATTAATTTTTGACAACGGCTGAAGGTAGAATGGCTACCAACACAGTTCATCCAACTTGTTAGCTAACAATCTCACGTTGCCCATTATGATGGATGGCAGAGATGGCTTGAATTTCCTTCTTTTTACAGTCCTCAATGCTCCTGCTCTGCATCCATAACATCTCCTTTGCAAATCCTCTGGGATTTCTGGCTTCAGGTGTAATATTGATTCTGCTTTTTCAACGTGAGTATGACGTTGCTTACTGATGTAAATCACACTGCTGCTATTGTACCCATCATAACAAAATAGCAAAATATAAAAAAGTATTGGGAAAAAAACAATCCAGCTGCACAGCATCCCAAAAAAGAAGGAACAGTTGTCAAAAAAGAAAAGCAAATAGAGAAGTATTAATGAAATTTAGATGCTCCAACGTGCTACCATCACAGGCAGGGCAATTTTAATTCCAGTCTAGCTGCTGTTGTCAAATTTGATATCTTGCTATATATTTCTGACACCAAATAGACTTTCTTAAACCATTTTTTTTGCCCCCTAAACATTTTTGCACAAGAAGTTTGTTTATCAATGTGACAAAAAACAGATAAACAAAAGGAGGTAAAAAATAAATGTGAAAATCACACTTTTAGAATTTAGACAAAGCAATTTTATTTGTTTAACAAATACCACATACAGGACTATTCAAAGTGCTTTACTTAAAAGATTCAAAAGAAAAATTAATTTAAAAGTAAGAGTTTACAAGCATGAATCAAGAAGATGCTTAACGTAACATAAAACAAATAAAATCATTGATTGTACAGATTAAAAGTAAAGAGTGGAGATGAAATACCATCAGTTGTGATATGCACACTTAAATGTAACTGTTTTCAGCCGTGATTTAAACATTGTCAGAGTAGAGGCCTGGAAGACTTTCTGATTTTAGAAGCATAAAATTGAAACGTAGCCTCATCTTGTTTGGTTCTGGCCCCCTCCACCAGCGGTAGACCACTACCTGAGGCTCCCAGAGTCTGAGCTGGTTCTATGGCTTTAATATACCAGAAATGTACTTAGGTGCCTCGATCATGAAGATAGACTTGTACATAAGCAGGGCTGTGCTGACGTCTATTCTGAGTGACAGGAAGCCAGCGCAGAGACCTAAGCAATGCACTGATACGATCGTATTTCCTGATTCTAGTCGAAACTGGAGCAGTAGCATTCTAAATGTATTGCAGCTCTCTCACAGCGCTTTTAGAGAGCTTTTAGAGTGCTTTTAGAGTGAGCAGGTTGATTGTCATCTGCATAGTTGTGGTAAGACACATTTTGGCTGCGTATCAGCTGGTCTAATGTAAACATGCATAGACTGAACTATAGGGGTCCCAGGATTAATCCCTGGGGAACTCCACAAGTCGAACCAATTTGGTCTTAGGCACAGTTCCCAATTTGAGCAAAGTTACACCTGTTCTTACACCCATAGGTACACTTGGACCAGTTTAAAGCTCTTTGGGGAAATGTGTCTTCTCACTTTTTTTTTTAACTCAACCACAAGTATGACACACACAAAAACTCCTCTTGTGCTGATTGCCTTGTGATGTTTCAAAGTATACTTTTTTCTGCATCTTCAAAACACTTTTTTGTTAAGCAACATTTTTTGTGAAAAAACTCGTGAATTCACTTATATCACAGAGCAAAACAAATCAGAGGAACATTGACCTATTCTTCTGAGTCTTCGATTTTTTGTGTACATTTTGGATTTCAAGTCCCCTTTTGAACCAAAATAGGTGTCAACTCCAGATGGCTTACTGTTCTTTAGAATTTCGGTAATACATTGCTGTTATCTCAGTGGTCAGTCCTCATTTACACATCACTCATCTTACATTTATACTTGATTGTCACATCTGTGAGAATGATACAACATGTAGAAAGAAGAACTGTCGGTCTTGATATCTTGCCATTCTGAGCTATCAAATATTAAGACAGACAGCACATCAGTGGATGTCAGGAACATTCTTATTTTTACATTTTATTTATGCCTCAGTTACAATCATGTTTTCCTACCCCTAAAAATATTGGAGTAAGAGAATATCCCAGTGCAAATGGTTTCACAATGACAATGTACATGTAGCAGATTTGATGTTTTACAATTAAAAAAGCATATCACAAGTACAGTCCGGTAGATAATACATGAGCATTTGCACTGAATTTGCAACCAACTTTTCAAAACTATAAGTCATGTCATAGTCAGACCTACAAAAATAATGCATTTGTGTAATGAAAAATGCGTTTCTTACTGCTTTCCTTTGAAAAAAGAATAACATTCAACCCAACTGATCTGAGAGCACACAAAACGCCAAGTCGTATGTAAAACTACAAGAAAAATAAAATTCCAGAATTTCATGAGACAAATTTAAAAAATTTCTAATATATTGTTGTAACTAGCAGCTCTTGTAGTGTAAAAGGGAAGTAACATAGATACCCGTTGCTTAAAGGTAAATCAAAGGTATTTATTAACAAAAGTGAAGATTCAACAATGAACACAAAAATTGAATTATAGACTAAATGAGTGCTAGTTGAGAACAAGAACAGAATACAAGACTAACAGCACTCAACCGCTAACAATAGATCAGAGGGAGTGTGCAAATGTTCAAGGCTGGGTACAGCCTGCTCCCAGGGATTTCGTGTGCTGGCTCTTTATAGCCTCAGGTGGCGCCTCCCGATTAATGGATGGACTGACACACCTCCTGCTGCAGGGCAACCTGGGAGTTGTAGTGCTGACACTTTCATAAGCACACAAACCACTACCAAAGAAGGGAGGCCAAATTCCCCCATAATACGACGTAGGCAGTAAGAATTGTGCATAATGTAGTTTTGATGTTATTATTATTGTTTTGTATTGCCATTTCATGCCATGTTTTGTGCAGAGAAAAGCACACAAATACTAAAACAAAAAATCCCTATCATAATTGAAAAGGCACTAAAAAATACGGTCGGTCCTCTGCTGACATAATTACAGACAAAGTCAGCTTCTTTGAGTATCGATAACATTCTATTAATGGATGGAAAAAGATACTGGAGAAAGTTGATGTGCTGGCAAGGAGAATAAGTCTGAGAACATTAAGTAAGATGTCAAGTTAATTTCTTCATTTTCCCACTAAAATGCTACCACAACAAGACAAATGTTTATATCAATCTAGATTTGCATAAAGCTTTGTGTATTGACATGATGCCACTTATGCCACTTTCTGGACACTTATTTGTTTTTGTTGCAATTGCAGCCTTTAAATATGTTAGGACTAGTCAGAACAACCACCACCCATTATTTCAAAAGAGTTTCTCTTGGGTAATGTGAATCAAAATATTGCACAGTTATTAAAAATGTATCATAGAATTTAAAATATGAAAATCCTTATGGACCTTTGAACTTTTGCTGATAAATATTCAGTTCTGTAAGCATCAAAAACCTTTTTTTTTTTTAAAGCCTGTACTGAATTTGTAGCGAATTTGTAGCAAGCACAAATGTTTCTACATTTCTGGGAAATGCCAAACCAAAACTACAGTTGGACTAATGAAAACACAGACAAAAGAAAACAAAAAAAGTAAAATAGTGACATTTCTCTAAATGAATAGCCTAGTTATACTAAATGTAAATGTCTTTACTTGGTGAATGCATCTCAAATAAAACATGCAAACTTGCATAGAAATATATATATTTTTTACAACACTGCACCTATAATATGTGCACACCATATAAAACAAACCTGAAGTACACAACCGTGGTGTTCACACTTAAATTAAATAAACCTCGATAATAGGGGCCACAACCTTCTCAATAACAGGAAAATTCTTAGTGATCTTAAATCAGTCTGGCATTTTACTAAAAATTATGAATTGTCTTTTGCACAGAATCCTGAAGTAACATTCAAGCACGTTTTGAATTTAAATTATATTCCAGACAGGAAGTATTGTGATGATAAGAAAATTGCAATTGTCACAATTTTTTTTTTTTATCCAGCCCTGTTTGGTACTTTTCTCCATTCTGTCCTCCTTAGTTGTTTTTTGTTGAAGTTGAAGTTGAGTTAATATAAAGGCCGTGACTGGCTGAGACGTGTGATGATGTTCATTGAGAACCAATAGTGATCATCATCCAATTCTTCCTGTGATCCAGGTTTGAAAGTGGGTGGCTGTATCGCGTTAACGCGAGCTAAAAAAAGAATGCTGGCATGAAGCGATGGGTGTGTTAACGCAATAATAATGCGTTGACATGCCCCGCTCTAAAAACGACCATTCAAAGTCCATGAAAACATTGACTGATTTTTCAATGTACAAAAAAACAGATTTAGTACAGTTTTGGCAGTGAGGCTGAAAATGGGTCTAAATACAATAGTTCTCTACATTGGGGTTCATAGGTGGGACAAGAGTTTCCTCAATGCCTTTGACGGAGTATAAAAAAAGAATAGGAAATATCACTGAATGGCCATTACTGCAAAAACACCTCTAAAGGAAGTCTGTGGGGTACAACTTCAGGGACAGTCGCTTCCATCATAAATTACAGGCTTTTCCACTGTCAGATGGTAAAAAACTTTTTTGGAGATGAACCTGTTGAAAAAACATTTTAGATCAAAACACAAGAAGACACTGAGGTGTAGCACATACACATACAACTGGCATTTGGTGACTGACTACGACGGAAAAGGAGAGGTTCTTTGAGAAATGAAGAAAAGTTAAGAGTTTCATACCGTGAGAAAGAGTTGTCAAAGATTAGTGTGTATAAGCCGGGGTGTCTGACTTTCAGCTGCCCCTGAATTCTCTCTTTATGGGAACTGCAGCGAGTCAGAGGAATCAGGACCTGAGAAAAGAAGAAGAAAAACAATAGTGATACAACCTATCTTACTCATTTTTATGATCATTAAATAAGATAATTAAACTAAGATGAGGATGACAATGGGTGACAGTGGTGAGGGATGGTGGGAAATACAGATGACTGACATTATTTTTAAATCTTTGAGGTTTTTTGAACACTGTTAAATTGCTGTGCCTCTCCTCAGAGTACATGTTTTTAACACCCAAGCTGAGTCTACTCTCTGTCAGGGGTATTCATTGTTTCAGCCTGCTGAGCATGTTTACAACTTCATTATCATAAGCGTGTTTTGTTAAGTTTATTCAAACCGCAATTTGTACACATTTTATTCCATCTTTTGATCAAGTTTTTTTTTTATTTGGCAACAGGGTGTGCTGTAAATTATGGTTGATCTCTGTATTGCAAATTCGAAGGGCTTGTGTCCAGTTAAAAGATGAGAATATGAAAAAAGGAGCTCTACCTTTGACTGCTCCACCTGTGCGTCGCTGGATTCCAGAAAAACCACACTGAAGTAGATACTCTTGGGCTCGGAGGAAAACGTCCACTTGAGTGTCGTCCCAAAGTCGCCCACGGCTACAGTGACCACACTGTAACAGCTTGACTTGATGAAGAGCTCCAGGGAACCATCACCGAACTGAGAAAGATCCTCAGTGGTGAGAGGGACAGCCATCCTGCAATAACACAATTAGTACAACTGCGATAACCATGGCCGACAAAGACTCCTTCATCCATGTAGGGGCTCATTGTGGACTGGAATCCATCACAGCTGAAACTCACGTGACTTCTCCTGATTTAAGAAGTATAATCTCTGAATCCTGAAGAGTGGGACCATGCTCTTCCTCAGGGGTAATATCCGCTGCATCTCTATAAAGTCACACATGAGAATATCCACAGAGAGATCAATGTCTTTTTAAAGAAAGGGGATATGATCAAATACAGCAAGGTCTAGCTAACACTGAACATAAGAATATGTATGACTATGCATTTAAGATATGAGATGGCATCATTGGATAAAACATTTTAGCCCTATTTTCGGTACAAATAGAACTTGTAAATGCGTACCGTATCCCTCATGGACAGCATGCATCACATTTGCAAAAAAAAAAAATAACATTTTTTTTATTTTTTTTTTTTTTTTTTTTTTTTTTTTTTTGGTCAATGGTTTTTGTTCATGACAGTTCAACTGGAAAAAGTCCATCAGCAAAGCTGAAAGAGGGTCACTGACACCAACCATGGAGGAGTCTGGCACACTTGCATCAATAAACTAATTGTAATCTCATCCATGAATACTGGAATCATACTGTGTAATAGGACAGTAGACCAACTAAGGGCTATGTAAGAAATAACCAGAAATTAAAGGGTGCATATCAATCTAAGATGTCAAAATGGACCTGAGTTCTCTGTTGTTTGTATGAACCCGACAGCCTGCAAATATTTTGATGATGAGATCTGTCTGACTTTATACTGTCCGTTATCTTCTTTTTTTTTAAATACAGCATAGATATAATTTTTTCTGTTTGGAAAAAAGCTAAAAATGAATGATCTCCTCTTTATAATCTACTTCCAGAATGACTATACAATCAAATTTGATGGTGGGTCACACACATACATGAAATATCTGGAAGTGGGTCCTTCACTGTTGTTACAAGGGAAAGAGACATGCACAGAGTGACATGGCTGTATTGCATTATCATATGACAGTATATAGAGAACACAATAACTGGCACATAGTAAGGTGTCAGGAATCCGTTTTCCTACATGTCTTTGTTTTGTCTGTTGCCCATTTTTAAACTGTCCCTTATGTCATTGAGTGCTGTCATTCTTTTTAAGAGTGGAACGTCTGCAGCGGTTATGGACTTCTAAAAGGTTAGAAAGAGATTCGGTCTGTGGCTACTGAATGATTGATTTTGATTTCTTGAGAAAAACTAGTTAGAGCTCGGAAGATGTCTGCGGTGCCTGAAGTTTTCATTGACTGTTAGGCTGGAGAGAACAGTGATTACCAGGAAAACACTGGTTGGCAACCGAGATAAGTTTGGTGACGGCTGGAGACGCAGCCGGCAGCTCAGGACAGTGTTTGCATAGGTTAGCACCAAGTTGTGGCTGGGGATACCCTGTCTCGAGGTTACCACTGGCCTGCATCTTATCCTCTTGTTATTGCTTCTCTCTGTCCTTGTCTAATGGAGCAGAATGGTAACTCAGAACATGAAAAGATGAGTTGCAAACAGCCTTAATCCGACTGCTTCAAAAAGCTGTCTGATACAGTTAATCGTCTGAATGCAGGGTCACGACTCTGTATGAACAAGCAGAGTCATGAATAAAAAATGGAGTCCCGGTGCGAACAGTTAAAAAAACAAAAAAGGGTCTAGGATGGAAGAGCCAGCAGAGCCGTGGGGATGAGACAACAAGGTGCCTGAACCAGAGTCGTTTAGAGGAATATTTTATTGACCGATATCTTGCTGGCAGAGCCCCACTTCATCAAGTTCTTGGTCCAGGCTGTCTACAATGCCCTTAGCAGCCCTTCCAACCTGCATGGCTTGGTCGCTACGGTAGCAAGCCCCCTGTGCCAGAGGAATGGGACTCTTCGGCATATAATCAGTTGCTGCCCAAAAGCTGAGAAAGAAGGCCGATACCGTCGCTGGCACGACCCGGTCCTCAAGACTGTCACAGAGAACATCTACAGTGCTGTTGTTGAACTAGACTAAACCCAGGACCAAAAACAACATATACAGCAATAGCCAGGTTTTGAACCACTGCACGGGACTGGTAGCTTTTAATAGATTAGGGCTGTCAACTCAAGTTCCCCCAGCTTGTTATTAACACCATCTTCAAACCTAATATTCTCCTGGTGTCAGAATCAACAGAGAATGTTGCCAGGCTGGAAATCACTGTGCATGGAGGAGACGTTTGAGTGAAAGAGAGAAAAGTTTGATTGAACAAACGAGGCTGGAAGGCAAGGTGCCTGCCTTTGGAGATCGGACGCAGAAACTTTGAAGAAAGAGCTACGACCGCACTCAGCATTACGGGGGAAGGGGGAAAGGAGAAAGGAGAAGGAAAGCCATCTGCAGCAGCACAGAGGCTGCAGAAAAAGTTTCGAGATGGCTATGGATGACAAGGGATGGTCCGTGGCTAAGTGCTGCTAGGGCACAAGCTGAGGGCTGATCAACCGTAGCTGGGTGCCCTGTAGGGCTGTAAAGTCCAAGCCGACCGGTCAACTTATTGGTCGATGCGTTCTGGGTCAACCAAAATTCTGATCGGTCGACCAATTTGCCTGTTAATTTCACACAGTGTATGATTAATTTCATCAGGAGGAAAGTGCCAAGTGCTAATGGGGGTGTTAAGAGCAGCCCTTTTTCACAAGTATAAAGCTGTCTTCACAGAACACCCCCCATGTTTTCACTCTTTTCACCCAACACGCCAGAGGCAGGTAGATTGAAGGACGTTCACATTCGTCAACATCCAAACCTTTGTGGGATATTTCTTTTTACTTTAAAGTTTAATTTACTGCGAGTCGTCCTCGACTAACCATGTGAAAGATATCAGCCGTATGGAAAAAATTTTACAAAAATAAATGGCAGGGAAATAAAGTTGAATGCAGAACTTGCAAACAATCATTTACATCTTACAGCTCAAATACAAACATTGCGTATCATCTAGTTAAAAGGGTTCGTGCCCACTGTTTGTAGGCTTTATTTTTCAGAAATGCTAATTTTTAATTTGTTTGCACTCGTTAGATAATCCAATTAGTCGACTTTTAGACAAAGTTTCAGGGTTTCAGTCGACCAAGAATTTCTTTGGTTGATTACAGCCCTAATCCCCTGAGTAAAGGTGTATGATGTTCTCACCCGAAACACCCAGTGACCTTTAGGGTATATCAGTGTTGATATGGCCTACCTTACATCAGAAGATGTTTCCGAACAAAAAAGACTGGCATTTCTTTTTCAGCTTTATTCAACCCTGAAACTAACCAGCTTAACTAAACTGCACTCTAAGCTTTCTCCTCAGGTGAAAATATACTCACTTTTCCAGAGCTCCTGAATGTTGGCAGTCTTGTTCTCCCTCCAGGGAGCCAGCTGAGGTCTGAGAAATGGTGTCAATGGTATCACTGTCATACACTCCATTCACCTCCTCTTCTGTAATTATGTCAAAAGCTCCTTCGTCAGAAGTGTGACTTGGATCTGAAACTGGAAGAAAAAGAAAAAGAACTGAACATAAAAGAAATTCAGAAAGAATGTTATGAGGAGATGAGGACTATAGATTAGTGACTGATGACGACTACTTTTCTGTGAATACGCCATATAAAGACCAGCTATCCGAAAAAAGTGTTCCAAAATCTCCTTTGCTTGATTTTCTCTTTACCATCGTTCTATTTTCAGTGTAAAAAATCCCATCCATTAATTTTCAAAATCCGCTTAATGTTAGTCATTGTTGTGGGACAGCAGTAATACTAACTACTATGCCCATGTATCCAGTCTTGAAACTAGCTCTCTGGGTTTCCATCTTCATTGCCAATAATTAGTTTAATGCATGAACAAGTTAGAATAAATAATATTAATATTTTCTGTACATTTTAAACTAAGCAAGGTAAAATTGAACAGATGAGCATAAAGGGAAGAAATCACTTTCTAGCATCACTGAACAGAAACTGGGGAACCTTTTGGCAGAAGCCCCAGAAACCATTTATGCACCATTTGCAGGGGATTGAGCAGTAAATCCACTTCATGCAACTGCAGTAGGACATTAACAGCTATTCAAAAACCATTTAGATGCAGAACTACAAAGCAACAAGCAAGGACCCAAGTCCTGTGCTGCCATCACGCATGAATTTATCCAACATCAAATTTAGCCACACAGCTTCTGCTCTGTTTTATGAGTCTCCTTTACCCATACGACATTTACATTTCTTTTTCTTTTTACTCCCAACTTTTTCTAATGCTGAGTTAATTGGGCTGGGTTCTTTGCAAATTATTAATTTAAGAGCACAAAAACCTTGTTCTTTAATGTGATGTCTGGAATTTAGCTGTTGCTTCAACTTCCTCTATGCCTCTGTGGCCTCTACTATACAAGTATAGTATATTTGTTATGTCAAGAAGTACTTCCTCCCTACATGCCTCTTACCTGTTACTCTGGGAGTGGGTTCTTGTGGAGCTGCTTCAGGTTGCAAACCAACTCCAGGGGGCAGAGGAAGTGAAGGATGTGAAGGACTCAGTGCTTCCTCTGTGAACTTTTCTGCCCCTGTGCTGTGCTGGGTGTAGCAGTTCTGGCAACACCGTTCCTTCACCCCATTGTGCTTGGTCGTAACAAAGTTGTTGCTGCAGTAGTAGCAGAAGATGCGGCCACAAAGTCTGGAATATTGGAAATAAACAATATGCATTTTGAAATCCGAATCACACCTTGAATTTGCTTCAAACTTATTTTTGTGTGTGTCAGGGATGTAGTGAAGCGCAATCAGCTTTGTAAAGATCAAATAAGGATAGGTTGAGCATTGGCTGAGAGGAACAGAGTTTTGTTAAAACAGAAAGCCCACCTGCAGTGATGTCTACGCAGCCACCAGGTGAACTGGCCCTGGCAGCTGAGACAGTGCGTGGCCTCCTTATCTACCAACCACCAGCGCTCCTCTGCTCGAAGTTTCTGCTCAAACTCCAAAGCATCTGACTTCTGCCACAAAGCATCTTTATCCCTGTAGTTCAGAAAAAATAATTAGTTCAGATAATAAAGCCAATTTCCTTGAGGCATGATATGGGGAAGGTATCATAATGTGAAAATGTAATGCACAGATTCACATTTAGCTTTACCTTTCTAAATTAGATAAATGCCATATTTACTATTTAAGGAATGGAAAAGGTGACAAAAGCTGTGGCATACCAAGTGACACAAGAACTGGACAGAAAAGCAGTGTCAAAAGGCCTTATATCTGTTTGTATTCTTCATTGTCAATACCACACATTTGAAGTAATTGCTGCACATCCTGATAATGTAAAAATAAGTCGGAATAAAGCTATTCATCGAATTAAGCATACTAGACACTAAAATAGAAACTGAAATAATTAAAATAAATGAAGTAAGCTGAATCCATTGCACTCTTGAACATTGGGAGGCGTAATTTCCCCAACTCAGAAATAAAACAAGGGCATTCACAATACAAGAGTGAGAACATTGAAATCATGTCTGCACATTACATGCAGATGAATCACTATCATTACTGGTCCAACAGAAACAATGAGCTCAGGAGGAAACTTATTCTCTTCAGTGGTGTTTCTCATCACACTTTCTCTCTCACTTATTATCACACTTCATCTCAATACATTTTTTCAGAAGACAAAATAATCTTTCCTGCTTATCCCGTTTCTCAGGCATAATAATTTCACCAAGCCCTGTTGATATAAGGAATACTAAAGGGTCACTCTTAATAGTGGAAACAACAAACTCCCCTAGACAGATGTAATAAAAGTGCAAGAACTAAGCAAATGTGTCCAAGATCCAAAAAAAAAGAGAAAAGAACAGGGCTGAAAACGTTTCTTCATTTGAAAATGCATCTGCCTGTTCCCACTGAGAGCATCCCAGCTGTGATGAAGGCAGGTCTTACTTTAGGAGCTCAATGAGCCGTTCTTCAAGGTTAGTCTTGGTTCTGTTCAGGTCATCAATTTCTGCAGTCATCTTCAAACACTGGCTTTCCCTGTCAGCTTCGGTTGCCTTCAGTTTCAGCCTCAGTTCTTCACACGCCTTTTGCAATGCCAAGTGAGCCTCTTCAGCACTGTGGACAGAAGACAACGATCAAGCACATCCATTCTTGAAAATAACACAAAACGATAAAATATTACTGTTGGTGGACAAACCTAGCAGCTGCATTTTTGAGTTGCTGAATCTCACAGTCATTTTCAGAAATTTGTTCCTCAGTCTTTGTGATGTGGGCGTCTTTCTCACCAATAAGCTGAAAATATGTCTCATTCTCAGCCTTTAAGAAAAGACAAAAAAAAAAACCAACATGAAATGCCCATCAATTAAATGTTGATCAATTAAATCGTAGAATTGGTAGCAATGAAATAGCAGAAAAGAGGTGCAAAATATCAATTAAATTAATTTGAATTAAAGTGTTAATTTCTGCATTTGAACTAAACAACTGGATATATAGCAATAAAACAATAGAAGTGTTGACTATGAAATGACAAAGCTGAACTTCTAAAAATAAATAAAAAAAACCCCTTAAAATTCCACAATGAAAGAAAAAACGAAATCAAGTTATCTCATTTTTTGGAAATCAACAAATAAAACAATAAAGAGTCCAGCACATAAACACAGCCTACTTCTCCATGACTTCCAACCACTCCTTCTTTACTACTGGACAAATCATCAAAATGCTGCTCTAGTCCTTATGTTTCTAGTTCCTGTTTAATGCATCATGATTGCTTTAAAGTATTAAAAAAAGTAATTGTCCAACGTTTTTTCTCTGATCCATGATCCCGCCATATATGACAAAATAAAAAATAAATACATTTGAAAAAGCAGACGTGGATGTCATGCATGGTGCATTTCATTTTACATTTTTAATTCCTAAAAGAAACATAGCCTACCTCTAATTCAGACACTTTGGCCTGCAAGTTCGACACCGTGCTTTGCTCATCCTTCAGCTGGGCTTTAATTTTGTCCAACTGCTCATTTATTGACTGAAAAGAGAGAATAAGTAAACAAATTTACATTTAAAGGCTAAATGCTTACAAGCAGACTTGTAACAGTAATACTGTACTTATACTTATTAGTAATGCTGGCTGTGGGTAGTTTGAATAAACTATGGAAATCTATCCATTCATGTGATTTTTGTAACTATTTTCACAAGATTTGATATAATTGGAATTTTTATTAAAATTAGTGTCAAAAACTGTCAAACTCAAGCCGCTTACTTTGCCGACAATTAGTAAACTGAATGACAAGCATAGGTAGGTTACCAGTCCATCCCACAGAGCCACACAGACAGAAGAGAAACACAACCTTTCACACATATACTGACTCCTAGGGTTAATTTAGTAAAAGCAAAAATGCATATTTTAGACAGTGGGAGGAAACTGGAGTATGCAAACACAACACATGCACCGTGGGGATGTGGATTTTGATGAATTAACAATACAGTAAAGGCCCCTGTGGATTCTTTGCCATACGACACGATTCACCCCTTCTCGCGACATGATACAATTTAATTTGACAACAATTTGCCTTCAAACAGTGCGATTCGGTTTGGGGCAATTCATGCTGACATTTAAAACTTTTACAAGACAAAACCTATCTCTACACTTCACAATAATTTTGTCCTCTCCTTCCCTTTAAAGGGGATATTTTAAATCTAATAGTTGTCTATAAAGCAATCTAATAAATTAATTCAGTCCACTATGATACAAACGGAATGTTGTTTTATTCCTAATAAAGACTACGTCTTTTTATTTTTCATTATATCTGTTTTTAATCAAATTTTCTACCTAACAATAAAAATACGAAGTATCACCAAACTGGCGTCTTTAGACTCATGTTGTTCTCCTTCTCATCTGTTGCCTCAAGTTCCTCAACAAACTGTGGCTCCTTGCTCCTGTATGTTTAAGAACAAAGCTCAGTGCCAGTGATGCTACATTCAAGCTGCCTCAAAAACACGAGAGCAGATAAGATAATATGTGATAATTGAAGTAGCCATTGGTTTTGCCGATGGAGACATGTAGAAATATAGATTTAGCCACCAGTTGTATCCAATGCAAAGTGAAGGTACAAGTGCAGCCCCATTACTAACGTCTATATTGGACCACCAATTCAGACTGGTGAAGCTGCATCCCTAACGCACAGGGAGAACTTGCAGACTCCACACAGAAAGGCCCCCGTCAGCATTTGAACCTGAAACCCCCCTTGCAGTACTAACAGCCGTGAGCAACATATCCATGTGATGACAAACAGGTTGAGTCATACTCACCTTAATGGTTATCTGGTAATTCATGGTCTCTGAGCTCATTTGGAACTTGACAGCCTCCATCTCCTCTTGACAGCCGTCGCTGACACTTTGCATTTGGTTCTTTGTCTTTTCCAGCTGGTTCTGGAGCTCCGTGATAATCCCTGGAAGCGTCTCCCTCTGTGTGAGCTCCTCCTGTAGACGGCCATTTTCATGAAGCAGTTCCTCTCTGAGCCTCCCCAGTCGTTCAACCTCTTTGTCCAACTCTTCGATCTTCTCGGTATATTCAGCCCAGTGCTCTCTGGCCTCCTGCTGCTCCGAATTTAGCTTGCATATAGTTATCCCCAGCTCTGCCATTTCAGTGTTTGCTCTGTGGAGGGCCTCGCGGGTCTCGCTGTGCTCTAAAGCCAGCCTTGTATTTTCTGCCTTTACCACAGACAGCTCCTCTCGGATGACAGCTGAAGATGTGGCCAACTCAGCATGTGCTTGCTCTTCTCGGTCCCGTTGCTGAGTAAGCATCTCCTCTTTCTTTTTGCACTCCATGAGCACCATTATGTGTTTTTGATTCTGGTCCTCTGCCTGGATCTTGAGTTGCTCAGTAAGAGACCTGAGCTCATCTCTTTGGGCTTCTGTCACTTCGAGCTGTGCTTGCAGTTTTAGTTTATCCTCTTCAGATCTTTGCACTTGAACCTTCAGGTCAAGGACCTCCGTCTGGAGTCTGGACACGTCTTTCATGCTTACCTCCAGCTGACTTTCAACCACCCTTAATTTGGTGTTAACTTCTTGGTTTTCCTTGGCTTGGACTGCACTCCGTTCCAGCTGTGATACCTCCATTGCTTGTTTCTCACCCGTTACCCTTTCAATAACCTCTGTTTGTCTTGCACAAGTTGCCTCTGCATTGGCTTTGGCAATCTCAAGCTCCTTTTCTTTTTCTTTGATAATTTTTAATGTGGCCAGCAATTGAACATTTTCTTTCTCTTTACTATCGAAATGGGCCACAGTAACTCGGAGCTGTTCTTTGAGACTGGCTTCGTTTTTGCGGGCGGCTCCAAACGCTTTCTCAAACTCCTCCACTTGACTGCGAAGATCCTGATTTTCCTCCTCCAGCTGCTTTCTCATCATCTCTGACCGCTCCGCAGCCATTGTTGCTCGCTGCAAACTCTCGTCCATCTTACAGTTCTCTTCACGCAGATACTTCTCTTTTTCATCCACTGTCACCTTAGAATCGTCCAGCTGGTCTTTAAGTTGTTTCTCCGAAGCCCTTAGAGCAGCTAATTCAGCTTCCTGTTCCGTTCTGTTTTTGATCATCTCACTCTGCAGCTCTTCATTTCTCCTCATTGTGGTCATCAGTTTGTCTTTTGATTCCATCAGGAATGTGCACTGTGTCTTGTAATCTTCTATTTGTATGGCCTGTTCATTGATCTTACCTTCACGGTCAGCGAGGCTATTGGTCAGTCTGTTTATCTCTGCGCTCAAGCTGTGGTTCTTGGATTCCAGCTGTTGCTGTGTGTCGTGGCTCAAGCTCAGCTCTGCCTCTTTCTTTTTAAGCTTATCTAGGAGGGCAGCAACCTCTGCCTCTTGTGACTTTTTCAAACTGTCAACATTCCTCTTTGTCTTGTTTATGACATCCTGCTCCTTCTCCTTCATCGCCTCCAACTCTCTATCTTTCTCCCCTCCAAATCTCTGGAGGTCTTGCAGCTGACTCTGCAAGTTGCTTGCCTCTTTCTCTCTCAATGTGAGGCTACCCTGCAACTGTTCAATGGTGCTGTACTGTTGCTCCACCTTTGCCTCCAGCATGGCCTTCTCCTTGGACACATTTGTAACCAACTCTACATGTTTGGTTTCACTGTCCTTGGCTGCTTCCTCTCTGATCCTTAACTCCTCTTCCAACCTTTCTACCTGCTTTCTCTTGTCCTCTGTCTCAGCCATAGCCTCAGTCTTTCTCTTCTCAGCCTCTTTCAATTCATACAACAACTCGTGAATCTTCTGTGCTGAATCAAAGTTACTGGCAGCCCGCTTGCCCTTCTCATCTAAAATCCCATTAAGTTTGGCCATAAGCTCTATGTTCTTCGCCTCAGCAGCTGACAGCTTTTCCTGAAGTAAGGTGTTCTGAGCATCCCTGGCTTTTTCACCAGTCCTAAGTACTTCCACCTCTCTGGACAAATCCTCAAGAGTCTTGAGTTCTTCCTGCAAGCCCTCTGTCTTCTCTTGGGCAGCGAGCGACACGTCAAGCTGCCTCTGAAGGTCCACAATAACTCCCCGGAGCTCAGCAGCCTCTTCGCCCATCTGCTGCATTTTATCGAGAAGCTGTCGCTGCTTAAGCTCCGACTGGTCGAGCTCAAGGCGAACAGCTTCGGCTGTGCTGACATCTTCCATGCAGGCTGGCAGCGACTCATTCAGATCATTCAAAAGACTGTGTCCATTGTCAGGGCTGAACTCATGGGTTTGCTGGATGACAGAAATTGAAATGAGAGAAGAAGGGTAAGAGTTGTAAAGCTTCAGAAGCCACAATAGTAATGTTGCTAGAAGCAAACTCAAATTACCTGAGAGTAGGTGCTGGCCAGACTACTAATACTGGAACTACGACTGGGTGGTATCCACATGTGGCCAAGAGAGTGGCCACTCCCTAATGTCCTCCTGATGATCAGAAAAGATGAAAAACGCAATCATTCCTGTCACAAAGAGGATTATGAGCTTTGCTCTGTTTGTTTTGTTGGGGGGGGGGGGGTTACTGAAAAAGTAATGGAGAGATTTTTAAGGGAGACTGGACAAAAAGGAGGCTGAACGGTAGGTGTAATGAATGGTCGGACGAGGGTGCACAAACTGTCCAGGAGTTCGGTCCATTGGAGTAGTTGAACAGATGACAGGCCATAATTACCTCAGAGATAGGTGGCATTTTATGTAACTGTCATGTCAGCTTTGTGTCTTCTGTTACTTACCTTGCAAACGTTGGCCAAGAGGCATCAAGGTCATGGCCTCTAGACGCCACGTCAAACTGGACATCGTTGAGCTCATACAGGTGATTGATTATGTCAGCACTGAGTTGGGGCTGCAAGAAGGGACTTCTCGCATAGTACCAGTCACTGTGTGAGGAGAAAGAAAATGCAGAGTAGATAACAGCAAGACTACCAGAAATCTGCAAGTAATTTCATATTGCACTTGTCTCGTTGGCCAGATTTGTAAAACAAAAGAGCCCTGATGTTTTTTTTAGGTCTTTTGAAAGAAATATGTGATATGTCTCATATCTTGCAATTACTTTTGTGAGGCCATCATCAAATATTTTGAATTTACATTTTTTTTAAACTGTATCCAGACAGTTGTAGCTGTTAATATCAAAGCAGTGTTTACAAAGTTAGATACCACATCCCACTGTTAGTTCTATCAATAGTGTAATAGCTGTGGTACCCTGAACTCAACTGACTGTGTTTGAGAATAACTGATTTGGTCTTACACACTAAATAATGTTATTAACAGATTTTTTTATATATCTTGGTTTGTTAGAGATATTCTTTTGTCTGTGTTGTGTTAGTTCTGCATAGGGAAGTGAGCATAAGCATAAATCAGAAGGCCATTGAACTTTCTGCATGGTAACAGCTTAATCAACAGTATCAAATTAACCTACTTTAGGTGATTTGCACTTTCTTACTCTGACAAAATAAAAATAAAAACTCTAAAACCAAGAGTCCTTGGGCCATGGATATGTAGTCACGGATTTATTTTATAAAAAGCTATTTACGTTTTCAAAATATCACACATGCACATGTGGCTTTTCATTACAGGAAACACTCTGCTGCTTCCTTTGAAATTGAACAGCTTCTAGTAACTGCAACTAATTCTTATAGAAGCAGCAATTTCTGTTAACCAATAAATTAAAACGAATAAATAAAAAACATGACCACGCACATCAATATTATTTTTCAAACCTGAATAAGGAAATGAACAGTTTCCGTTTTTGCCACTATTCTTAACTTTGTTGATGACAACAACTATAAATTACCTCTGAGCAGGTTTTACAATCTGGTTGATTTAATCTAAACTGGTACACTTCAGAGTCAAGTAATCAAGCTTTAAATCTACATTGAAAATAAACACCCACAGTAGATAGCCTTACCTAGTGACTTTCTGGTTCATCAGGCACTGCTGCAGTGTGTCAGCCAACCGTTGGTGAACCAAGGAGTAGCGGATAAATGCGCGTCCTTTTCCCAGGGACGTTTTCAGCTAGAGAGGGAGAAGTGGACATGATGCTTAGAAACGCTCAAGGGATCCTTTATGGAATATTTAAAAAACAAAAATATTTCACTGTAATATTGTATTGTTTGACTTTTACAGTATTTTGTCTTCCCTGATTAGGAGAAACAACAAAATCAAGAATAGCTTTTTTTTCACAGCAAAATGAAGTACAACAAATTATATTATTTTCATTGCTCTGGCTTGGGCCTCATATATCAACAACACTCATATTCATGTAGCTGGGCTAAATTTAAATAATTTCTAAAGAAATCAAGCCACTTTCTAATAATTCTTTGGATTTGTCTGAAATCACCAATCATACTAATATGAATTAGTGATACAATTATTAAAAATAAATCCGCACCTCAGTGATGCATTTGACAAAACGAATGCCATCATTGGCTCCTTTCATCTTGGCCAAACAGTCACTGAAATAATCCCAGTAGCCCTTCTTGGTACCCAGAAATGTTGTCTTCTCCTTCTGGTCAAACTGAAAGTAAGACGCAGCTGAAGTTAAAATAGTCAAATGTGTTTTTTACTCTCAATAACCAAAGAACCAGAAAAACTATAAATTTTCCCACTTTATAAAATCCCAAAATATGCAGTGCGATTTTTCAACTAGCTGTAGTATTATTCCATGTGGTATATTGAAATTCTTCCAATCAAAGTGGATTTTTTTAAGTCTAGAATAATGGTGTGGGATTCCTACCTGTAACAGATACTCCAGTTTGTAGGAGAACTTGTGCAGATTGGTACTGTCATCTGTGACTGGCTCCCCATTGTTCTTGTACTCCTTTGCAAGCTCTAAAACAGTCTCTGAAATGGACAGACAGTTGTAAAGTTTTTTACAGAAGCATTAAGCATTTAAAAATTAGCCTTGAAAACCAGCAGGAAGAATTAGCAAACTGTGGTGTAATTGCATTAAATACTAGCATAAACAAAATAAAATATTCTTCACTTAAGAAGAAGCGGAATAGCACCACATTATACTCGGTTAGACCAGGTGCCAAAAATAAAAAAAACATCCTTTTAATATTTCTCACTGCTTCCTCTTTCAGTACCGTTAGGCCACAGATTAAAAACTATTCTTGTATCCGATATGAAAACTACTCTCTCTGTTTCGCTGCATACTAACTGCGGTTTTCCTTCCACCCTTTAACAAATATGAAGTCATATTTTTTCCAAATGATCCAAGTGCAAAGACAGGTCACATCATTCCAGGGGTAAAGACTGGACTCAGACAGATTATGTCAAAGAGGCACTCACTTTAATCACTAGGCAAAAAACCTGATGAAAGGAGTTTCCCGGCTGATGACCGCTAATGACATGTTGGTCAGCAATTACGGGTCGTAGTATAACTGTTCAAATTAGACTATTCACTGGGTCTGGTCCTTTGTTTGTATCACAGGCTTCTTGTGTTTACTTTGAATCCTTTTTATACAGGTATACTGCATGCAACTAGTCACACAAACAATCGGGCATACGTGCATATAATCAAGATACCGTGCAAGTCACAGATGATCCTCCGGAGTTGGCTTTCGCCGACTGCAGTCCCAGCAGCCATAGTTCCACCTCTCACTACCTGGGAACCAGGCGTCACGTCCAGTCTGATAAATCAATAATTCATGATCAGCCTAACAAAACATTATTCACAATGATTAACACGCTCTCTTTTATGAATATAGACAGACTTAGTGCATTCACACAAATGATTGACGCATTAATAAGAGTTGCAACAATGCATACACTGGCTCATTATACAGAAAATATTTGTCTTAGATATAAAAGTCAGTCACAGGTAAATATATATTTAACTGAGTGAAGTTCAATCTTTACTGTAACTCAATTTGAACCTCAAAGAGGAACTATTAATGTGATGAGTTCCTTTTCAGTTAAATCCTTGTTTATGCAAGTTATAAATATAGAAGATCTTTACCTATTCAGTGGTTTGGTTAACTACAAGTTAGCAGTAAGAGATCTCAGACAATCAGGAGATCACTACTGACTAGCAATTGTAGGTTTTGATGTAATGGTATTGAGGTCTAGCAAAAGAAAATGATCCTAACATCGACTCTGGAGTTTCTAAATAAAGGAAAACATCAAGAGCAACAATGACGTGTTTCTGATGTTTCTTTTCTGCTGAAATCACAGAGTAATGTTTCCGTACATCTGTGGCCTATTTAGAAATGTTTTACAACTGAAATTATATTACAAAACTTAACCAAACTAAGCTTGACCAAAAGACTGTTTTCTTAAAATCTGTTTAGCCACAAGCTATGTAAACAAAGTTAGTGTCAGGTTTAAATCGTATTAAAACTAAAGTAAGAACTTAACAACACAAAAATCATGGCTGTTTTGAAGAGGTGATATTCCTATTAAAAAAAAACTAAGAACCACAGCTCAAATTCTAAGAAAACAAAACGAACTTTTACAGCTGCTTCATACGTCAAACGTAGCTGACACGTTAGTAATTTGCCAAAGATTTTTTTAAAAATATTTTCAAAATAACCACATCACAGGACAAGGCTAAAATAATATCTAAGCGATACCAAAAGGAAAAAAAGAGAAGTAATAACTGACATACTTTCAACAGAACGGAGCCGAACCCATCAAAATAAACTCCGAGCCTTTCAGGGTGTTGACAAACTTGCTAGAAGTATCGTGGTTGACAGGAGATTATCCACTTACAGCGAAGCTTTTACCCATTGCACCAATCAGTTTGAGGCAAGTGGGAGGGAGGTTGAGTGTGGATAGTTTGGTTGCCATGTCGAACTAAACAGTCATGGTAAATTGAAAACAAGATGACGATTATTGCATATTTCACTGACCTTTGTTTTCGTTGAGGAACATTGGTGTATTACAAAACACCAATGCCGGCCATACAAAATGTTAGTTTTATTCCACACGCAATACACGGACTTTCATTAAAGTTTCAAGAACTGTCACAGTCACTGACAGTTCTTGAAGTAATCAGTAATTCATATTAGAATGTCCTGCACAACGCAGGATACTCAGTGTGAGACACAGCAACCACAATCCACCATTGTTTACTACCTGTTGTTGTTGGTTGTCTAATAGACAATCACTGTAAGCGAATGTTTTTCATATTCTTCATGTTTACTTACAGTTTTCATTTAGGCTGTATTAAATCAGTAATGTAATTGTTCTCTTATTTGTTTTTTATAATCTTTGTCTGGTTATTTGTATCCTGGGGATACATTTTTGTGGCCTGTTTGAAGGTTGGGTTCCATGGTCTGTTTAGCAGTATTATAGCAATTATTTTGCAGACACAATGATAATATGATTATTTGTATTTCTTTTCAA